TTGAGTTGGAGTCTCACTCTGTCGCCCGGACTGGAGTGCAGTGGCCGCTCCCAGCCACTGCAGCCTCGACCTGCTGGGCTCCGGCGATCCTTCCACCTCAGCCTTCCAAGTAGCCGGAATTACAGGCATGCGCTACCATGACCGGCTGATTTTTGGATTTATTGTAGAGATGAGGTCTCGCTGCCCAGGCGGGTCTCGAACCCACAGGCTCAGGCAATCCACTCACATCAGCCTCCCAAAGGTGCAGGATTACAGGCTGAGCCACCAAGCCCGGCCCTTGTGGTTTTAACTTGCATTTTTCTGGTGACTAGTGATGTTGAATATCTTTTCATTATGCTTGTTGGCCATTTGTATGTCTTCTTTTGTAAAATGTCTATTTATGTCCTTTGCCTACCTTTTTTTTTTTTTTAGCTCATCTGTATTTCATTTGCAAACTTATAAATTCTCCTTTGCCTACCTTTTAATGGGGCTATTTGTGTGTGTGTGTTTATTGTTGTTGAGTTGTTTGAGTTCCTTATAATTTCAAGACAGACCCAGGTAGTTGCTTATGCTTTGAGAAAAGCACATATGATACATAATGGTAATACACATCATGGAGCATTTGCAGAGGGATCTGGCTTTAACGGGGCTGGAATGGAAAGTGAGATGATTCTGTTCTGATAGTGATAGTGGAACGACAGCTACGTTGGGCATGAGGAAACCTGCATTTCTAGCAGCCATAAGCCTTGAGCTCGGCTTTCTGGGCCTCATTTTCCTCTTCTGTAAAACGAGGAGGGTAAACCAGGTCATTTGTTTTCTGGAGAGGGCGAGGGACTTCAACAGGGGTTGGGGCCCTAAGCTGTCCCCTACCCACGGCTTCTGTCTCATGTCAAAGCAGCTCTCCTGTGAGCTGTTACTGGGTGTCAAATAAGATACTGCTGGGAAAACATATCCTCAAAAGTCTGGAAGCTACTGGACTAGATGATCTCTGAGATCCTTTCCTCTCTAATGGTGTGGTTTTATGAACTTAAAAACTGAGTCAGAGACTTGAAAGCTGAAATCACAGTGCCAAAAATTTCTCTGTAAGTGCTGTGGATGTTTTGCAGGCAGACAGTCCAGAAGACATGCGCAGCTGGATTAAGGAGATCGGGGCAGCTGTCCAGGCCCTCAAGTGCCACCCCAGAGTAAGTCACTTCCTTTCTGCTGCACTGTGTCAACTTAGAGATGAGTTCCCCTTGAGTGAGCATGTTTTATTTGATGATATAGGCAAGCAGCCTGGTCCCTAGATGCAGCTGAAGCCTCAGGATGTCTTGTTTGTTTTTCTCTTTCTACTAATTTGGGTACACACATTTTATTTTTCTCTTTTTGGTCGTGGGAGGTGAGGTAGAGTTGGCTAGAGAAATGGAATTTCTGAGATGTCCTACAAGACTCATGCCAGGCAGACCTTGACACATCTGGAGTGAATTCTGCTGAATGTATTTGGTTTTTGTAGACATGGGTCCCTGGACCTATGAGATGGTGATCCTGGGTGGGTACACTTCCTGGACTTTGGGATGAACATTATCTGGAAAAACCCTAACTTTCTTTTGTCTTCTTCTTCCCTCTTTTTTTTTGTAGGAAATGTCCTTTTCTAGATCCATTTCTTTGACCCGACCTGGAAGCTCTGGTCTCTCAAGTGGGCCCAACTCTATCTTGTTTAGGGGACGGCAGCCTGTGGAGGAAAAGAAAGCCCTCTGCAAAGCTCCCTCTGTGGTCTCCTCCTGGCAGCCCTGGACACCTGTCCCCCAGGCCGGGGAAAAGCTGCTTCCAGCTGAAGAGACTCCGGAAGACTCTTTGTTCACGCCTCGACTTGGGGAGAGCAATGTGGCCGGGGTGCTGCCGAGCTCCCGGATAAGGCACAGATCCGAGCCCCAACACAAGGAGAAACCATTTATGTTCAACCTTGATGATGAAAACATACGGACCTCTGATGTGTGATGAAGCTTAGTGCGTGGGAGGGAGAAAGGGAGGACTCGGGAGAAAGGGAGGACTCGAGAGAAGGAGGCTGTGACTCAGTTTCTCTACCTTGTTGGAGGGTGGTCAGAAGCCTTTATGGCACCCATACTTCTGGGGATGCTTTGTGGGAGGGGCCTATCCACCTGGCTTAAAAAAAAAAATCAATGCAGTGTATTTAATTTGAGGAAATCACTAGGTTAGGCCTGAAGGCATACTCAGTGGAGAACAGGTTGCCTCATCTATTTCAAGGTCTTCCTGGTGAGGGGTTATTTTAGCAACTCCTTCCCAGAGGAATCTAGGAGTCCAGCTTCACCCTTGACTAGGTTTTAGTTCCTTGTCCTTGTTTTAGTTTCTTTGTTTTCAGTCCAGGCACAGAATCCTATTCCTGTTTGTTGACTGAGGTTTGTAACATGTGAGGGCAGTAACCCGCCCAGCTGGAAGGAGGTGGGTTGGTGGGAGACCCAGGCTCCAACCTGCCTGGATCCATTCTGAGAGATGGGGCCTTGAAAACAGCCCTCAGAGTGTCTACCAGGGCTGAGCCTCTCAGGAGACCTCACAGGGAAAGAGATAGGGACTTCTTGTAAGGTATGGGGAATAATTCAACCATACCAATAGTGCATCACCCAGTTTTGGAAGTTACTCTGTTCTCTTCTGGATGCTTTTTGCCCCAAATATTATAGATGTGGGTGACAGACCTACCCACCCAAATTCTGTGTCAGGCCCCAAGGGTGGGTTTATCAGTGTTACATGTTGTGACTAAGTACAGGACAGACATTTCCCTTGATAGGCATTATTTGGGATGTGTGGAGGGTTGATGTATGATAACTCACGTATGTGATAAATCCATCTCTTTTTCAGAGTTTTAGATGAGCTTTAAAGCAGGTGCTGGGGAGAGATGGATTATAATTCATCCAACTAAGCTTTTGTGATCCATGTTTTTCAGACAGGAGAAAAGTTCTGTTTTGGCAAAGACAGATGATCTCGAATCCTTGCCTCACAACTGTTTTTTAAATGGGCCAACATTAGTCTAACTTTTAGTGCTGTGCTGTCTTTCTAGGCAGATTTGCTTTGCCTTTATCCTTTGTGTTATCCTTTGAATGAAGCCTTGTGTGCCTGCATGATCAAAACCTGTAATATGACAAGTTTCCATGTACTCAACAGTGAAGAGATACAAAGAGAAACTTGAGATATATTTATACTTGTAATGAAATAGAAACTGCGCATAGAAACATTGATTTGGAAATTGTGAGTTGCTGACTAGAGATTTCTCAGAAGAGCATCAGAAAGTTGAGTTTCCTGCTCCAGTTGTAGCACACACCTTCTTCCATCTGACAAGAAGATACTGTTTCCAGTGTTCCTGGGAGAATTTTTCCATCTAGTTTTTGTGGTGAATTGCCACCAGGAGTTTATTGGGGTTTCCTAAAGAAAGGAGAACTTTGCTCATTTCCATCTGTAACTTTTATCAGCTAGATCTATTTTTTTTTTCCTTAAGAGACAGGGTCTCATTCTATTGCCCAGGCTGGAGTGCAGTGGTGTGATCATAGCTCACCGCCACCTCAAACTCCTGGGCTCAAGTAATTCTCCTGCATCAGCCTCCAGAGTAGCTAGAACTTTAGGCACCTAGCGCCATGTCCAGCTAAGTTTTTTTATTTTTTATTTTTTGGAGACTGGGTCTCCCTGTGTTGTCCAGGCTGGTCTCCAATTTCTGGCCTTAAGCTATCCTCCTACCTCAGCCTCTGGAGTTTCTGAGATTATAGGTGTGAACCACTTCATTTGGCTTAATTATATTTTTAACATTAAAAATTAGACTGGCCAGGTGCGGTGGTTCATGCCTATAATCCTAGCACTTCAGGAGGCCAAGTCGGGAGGGTTCCTTGAGCTTAGGAGTTTGAGACCAGGCTGGGCAACATAGTGAGACCTAGTCTCTACAAATAAATTTAAAAAATTAGCTGGGCATGGTGGATGTGCCTGTAGTCCCAGCTACTCGAGAGACTGAGGTAGAAGTATCACCTGAGCCAAGGAGGTCAAGGTTGTGGTGAGCCATGATTGTGCCACTTCACTCCAGCCTGGGTGATAGAGTGAGACCTCCAACTCAAAAAAAAAAAAAAAAAGAAAAAAAAAAGCTAGAGGAAAAGACTCAGAGAAGCATTTTTACCTAAGTAAATCTCCTGCCCTCCTGGTGTACAAATATAATGCAGAAGTGAAAACAGTTCATGAGAAAACCCTTGGTGGCTTCTAATGCAGAAGTGAAAACAGTTCATGAGAAAACCCTTGGTGGCTTCAGTGGAATCATGCTTCTTTCAGGCAGTGTCGTTTCCCTTGAAGTCCATGTCACGTTGAGGACTTTTTGATTGCACTGCATTGGAGCTATCCTTTCTTTAAATTAACTTTGGTCTAGTTGTCCCGGTATAAAAAAGGAAATCTCCTACTGGATCTATCCCTTGTTCTCACTCTCTCTCTTTTTTCCTTTTTTCTGTAAATGCTGGTGAATGTTAGTCCTCAGAAATCCTTGGTTTGGGAATTATTAATCTATGAGTGACTGAGGTTACAACTTACTTTAAGTTGCATGATTTCAGGAAGCCATTCCAAATGCTAATAGCTCCTTAACTTGGGTTTTAACTCTCAACTTGCCCTCCAGAAAATTCTTTGACTAGTCAAAGTAAGTGCAAAATGTGTGATGTGGAGCTACTAAAAATAAGTTAGGAATGCGTTGAGAGCTCTTTAAACATTCCCTGACTTGTGAAAAAGATGTCATCTTTTGGTGTTCAGATTACGAAAATCTATCCCATTTCTCTCTCTCTCTCTCTTTTAATAAATTCTCTGCTAGATTACTACTGCTGAATTAATTGGCCATTATAGTAATGTTTCTTATTCAGCAAGGTCTTTTTTGAGAATGTGTTAGCATACTGATAATCCAGATTGTATTATGTTGATAAAGGGAAAACAGGACTCTAATTGGCAAATACTTTGGAATTCTCAGTTAGAACATTGTTATTGTAGTTCCAATATCAGATAAATATTGTTGTCTTCAATGAAACCTAAAAGCATTCTCATTCCCAAATCTTATTTCAGACCCTTTATTCTGTCCATATTTCTTACTTTCTGGCCAATTCCACACCATGATCTTTTAATGGGAACCAAAGATGGTGCATATTTGACCAAAGCATGTAGTTTTAAACATATAAAATGGAACCAAATGGAAAAAAATAGGGTGGGGATGCAGTAAGATGCCTTCTAGGTTAGTGGTTAAGTGCCTAGGCTCTGGAATGAATTGGAGGCTTTTTGGTTTTAAAGGAACTAAAAAAGGTACTGCATTTTATCTGTGGGACAAAAGCCTTTCCTGAGTTGTGCTCTTACTGTGAAGTTGTGCTATTTTAAGGTGGTCCTGACTCGCTATGTGTAACAGTCTTTTAGGTGGTCTTCCCTATGGCTGAACTACTTGCCATTCATTATTCTTTTTTTTTTTTTTTTGAGTTGGAGTCTCAGATTGGCCCAGACTGGAGTGC